CCTACCGAACCAGACTGGGGTGACCGACTTAACTCTACTTTTAACCTTGATTAGTTAAGAAAAATTTAGCCCGGGTTGAACCACGTTCTCATTTTCATTCTTATTTTTCTATTCATTTTTTTTTACATATTTTTCAATAAAATAATACTTTCCATCATATCACTAATTTTTTTCTTTTTCAACCACACATTTACCATCACATAAAAAAAAGTATTTTCTCCTAAAAAATGTACATCAAACACACTCTTGTTTTGTGTGAATGATAATGCTACTTTGTTAGAAGAATCTTACACAAAATTTGACATAAACGAAGGCAACGTTATATGATTGAATAAAAAAATTAACTGTATTTTAAACCTCCAGTGCAAAAATGTCGCGTGATAATATGTCTAGCTATATGTCAATATTGATGTCCATATAACATGATTGTTGTGTCGAATAACAATATTTTTCTCGCTCAAGAAAAAAATAGCAATGTTTGAAGATAAATGATTTCTACTTTTAGTTCGGGAATGCCAATCCTTTTTTTCTTTTTGAGTATAGTGACAATCGACTAGAGTTGTAAATTGAATTGTGTTACGAGTCTAAGTCCGTGTTCCTTTAATTAGTAATGTTTGAGCGTCATTGATTGTGTTTTAACCTCACAACAAAGACTTCTTTCTTGTGCTTATTTTTTTATATTCATACTCCATACATAGTAGAATTTATGTATTATGTGAAACATGAAGTATCAAATGATTTTTATATTTATTTATCGTTTTAACCCTTTTGAAATTTAAAGGAATAGAACATGCTTTGAGCGATGTTTTGATTTCTTAAATACTAGTCGATAAAAGATTAATTTTTTTTTTTTAAAAAGAAATATAAATTGTTTGTTCTTGTAAGTAAAACTCCAACTATTTTCTTAGAAAGAATGTTTCATAAATCAATTTGTATAAAAATTCAAAAACATAGAATGTTAATTTTGAGACTTTAATACATGGGACCCGCACTATGTGGCTGAGAATTCAAGGGGGGCCGGGTGGATTTGTAAAAATAAAAATAAAAAATGGATCTTTTTTATAGGGAGAAAGGATTCATAATGGCCGAGTTTCTATTTATTTTATATAATAAAAAATAAAGTCAAAACCCCAACTCCCAAACGGCCAACCCCCAACCCCTCCTCTTTCATTTCTCATAAATGAAGCGCTGTCTAAACCCTAATCTTATTTTTATTATATTTTAATTTGTGTTCTTTTCTTTAATTTTTTTTTTTCTTTTCTTTTTTCTTACTTTTGATTTAATCAAGGTTAAATTGGGGGTAAGGAAAAGTCCTTAACCATGGTCAACGAGATTGGGTTTGAAAGAAGGGATTTTTTTAATGATGTTAATATTTGGTATATTTTGGCATACTTATTGGTAAAAGGTCAAAGTCCAAAATGTCCTCTTCTGTCTTCTAGTCTTAAGAATAATGGATAAAAAATAAAAAAATAATAATAAAAAAAAGTGATAGAAATCGACACATGATAGCATAAAAATTGAGGTTTGCCCCCCCGGGCACATCCGAATTGGCAAAGGACGGGCATTGCTGGACTTGCAACCTCGGTGCGGAAAGTTCGATTCCTGGATGGAGCAGCTGAGTGATGTGATGCTCATTTGTGGGGGGAGCAGCTTGGTATTGTAATATTCATGGAGGAAGACTCTCTTTGAGTCAGGAGTATAAAAGGTGCACGGATCCTGGTTAACTTGGGCATATACCTCTATTAACCTCCACCCATCACTGAGGGGGCGGGGATGAGTGGTCCAGGGCATAATCTGGTGCAAGTTGGGAAACTTGGGTATAAAAAAATAATAATAATAATAAATAAAAAAAATTGAGGTTACATTGGTTTATTATGTTTTTTTAACGTTTATGGAGCCTAGTCTAATCATAATTAATTAAAATAATTCTTTTTTTGTCCTAAATTTATTCCAATGAAAAAAGCATCTTCCATAGTTCATTAAATATAATTTAAATATTTTTCTTATTATATGAAAATGGAAATTTGAGAAACCTAATTGTGGCAAGTGTGGTGCATAAAAGGAAATTTAAATTTATTTAATATTTTCAAGCTTTATGGATTTTTCTTTTATTTTGTAATTTTATAAATTTTAACGTTTTAATTTTGAGACAAATATAGCGAACATTGTCTTAGAAAAATATTATATAATATTACTTACATTACAAAATTTAAAATAAAATGCTGCTGCTGCTACTATTGCTAATAATAATAATACAAAATAAATAATTACAATCAACTTCAATTTTGACAATCGTGTACACATAAATTATTTATTTTATCAAATGTCCAAATGTCGATTTTGAATCGATAAACAATTTTGAAATAAAAACTTATCAAACTTTTATCTAGTTGTTTTTTTAGATTGTTATTTCTTAAACACGTCCACGTCTAGTCTACACAAAATTATGATATGGGTGCTAATTTGGTCAACTCATTAGCATTACTATTTTGACCATGTTGTGAATTTGTTACATATACTTAATTTTCCATGCATGTGTGCCAATTATATACCTCCTATGCTTCATGCTTGATAACAATATTCTAATAATTAACTTGATATATTAGCTATTAATAATATTTCTTGACTAAATGTAAAGTTTTGCACCACTTTCCTAGTGTGTTAAATATCAACTCTATTTAAATTTTGAACTGTCAAATTATATAAAAGAAATACTATATTAATTTATATTTTATATGCAACAAAAATGGCTAAAAATCTATTTTAAATTTGGTCGATTTACATACAATTCAACACAAAAAAATAAAAAATAAAAAAAATTGCATATTCATTAATTGGGTTTTTATTCAAATGATGAAAGTATAAAGAAAGGCTCATCAGAATATGTATGTGATCTTTTGATCAAAAACGCGTTTGCGAAGTTTCAATGAATGAACTTATTACTGAAAAAAGTCTTCGTTCTTTAAATAATGTATTCGTAATTAATTTTGCATGGCCCAATGAAATTTTCAATCATTTTGGTCAACTATTCTTTCATATGTGCTATGTTGCGAAAGTCACTTCGATGATGTTTCCTCTTTCCTTTTTTTTTTTTTGACAAAACTGAACTTTAGATAAAATATTGAAATAGTTGACAAAATTAGCGAATGCTACATAAGAAAAATTGGAGTTGTGGGCTCAAAATGTAGAGTATTCAAATTTGGTCTCATGTTCTTTTATGTCAATTGTGTTCTATTTGTATTAAGAATGTCGTAAAGAGTAAAGACTAAAGTAGTCGGAATCGTATTTTTGAATTGGAGGGGTATTCCGTATTGGATCGTGAATAGTAAAATATACTGAATGTTGATTTAAAATGATAATAAAAATTTAAAAATTAACAACACGTTAACTGTTGTAAGTCAATGACTAGCTTATAACAAAAAATAAAATAAAAAATACGAAGTTTTCAACTACTTTATGGAAAGTCCACACCAATGTTTTTTTGTCAAAATAGTAATTCAAATACGATGCTAAATATGTAACATCTTTTCAAACGTGATGTCAAGCGTGGAAACGAATGTCTTCATAAAAGGCGTCGCCTTCATTGCAATTGAGGTCATTCGCTCCAAACTCCTCGTCAATATGATTGCTTTCTCGGACAGGGGGAAAAAAAATTGCCACCCCTTCTTCATCGACATCTTCATGAATTTCGAAATCATTTTCAAAACTTGAATGAGACTAGTGATTGTAAAAATAATTTACTTCAAAGCCAAAAATAGAAAAAAGGAATTCATTCAAGATAGGCCTAAAAACTAAATTGCCTTGCCTGGAATGTCGTAGCTTTTATAATTTAATCTTAATTCGAAAATAAAAGGAAAATCGGATTAAAATAAATTACTGGGGACTAATTTGACATAAATTGGATTTTTTTTTATCAATCAATCATGATGGAACTTTATTGAATGAAGGTGGAAAAAAATGGGTTGAGGGCCCAAAAGTTGGAAAATTGTAGTATAGGAATTTTTTTCAACCCAATTGATTAGCTGTTTTCGAGGCATTTCTACTACTTTTATGTTAGTCAAAATAGTAAGGTTTCAAGTTCATTATGAGTTACACAATAAGACATTCGAAATGGTATATAGGACATGTCTGATATTGATTCTTCATCAGTTTAAATTTGAAACATTGACCGTTGCTTTGTCAAGATAGATCCCGCCTCTGAGATGGCTGGTCAAAAAAGACTGTTTGATTTTACACGTAACGGCTATGAAATCAATATTTTTGCTTCAAAAAGCAGGTCAGATATACTCATGGTTTATATATTTTTGCCAAGATAGACCCCACCTCTGAGATGATTGGTCAAAAAAGACGGCTTGATTTTACACGTAACGATTATGAAATCAATGCTTTTGCTTCAAAAAACAGGTCAGACAGACTCATAGTTTATATATTTTTGACTAAAGTGAAAATCTTTAAAATTGAGCCTCAAAATGAACCAGAATATATAAAATTTGGAAGGTATTATAAATTGAGTAACTATTTTTAAAAGGTCGTATTCATCTCTACTTTAATTTAAATTACTTATTACCTACAATTGTTTCAACTAACGGAAAAATTTGTGTGACCCGTTGAAACAAGACGAAATGCCATATGCGATGAGTTCACTTGCACTTAGGGAGGGATAAAAAAATATCGTGACCTAGTCCCGCCTACTCTTGTTATCGAGCTCTATCTTTTATTTTTATTTATTTTTTTAAAACTTAAATCATTAAAAAAAAAAAAAAAAGACAGAAATATGATGAAAAATTCAGCTCTTGAAAATCCGAGTCGGCGTGGTGGAAGAATAGCTTTAGCCCGGTTTCGTCAGATCCCGACACCTCACATTAGCCTAAAAAATTCACGCGGGAAAAGAAACTGAAAATGGCGGGAAAGCCTTCCTTTCTCCATTAAATTCCATTCCCAAATTAATTCTTCCAATTTTCTTCCTCTCTTTTGCGCGCACACACAAAGTACAAACGCAGATGTTTTCAAGCAGCCAATTCGAATCGACGTCCGCCGTTAATGGTGGAGGTGGCGGCTTCAACTATTCACAGTTAACTCAATCGGCTGATCCACTCCCCACCTCTGCCAAGGTACACCAATATATTCACGTATCTGTATCTAAGATTCTAAATGGCAGTTTTTATAGTTTATTTCGATTTGATCGATTTTTTCTTTGTAATTTCGTGCAGAGTCGAGATGCACAGCCTATGGTTCCAGTAACGGTGAAACAAATAATTGGAGCAAGTCAATCTACAGATGACAAATCCAATTTTCTGGTTGATGGTGCCATTGCCTCCAACGTGAGTATCAATAGAAAAAAGTTGATGTTTATATTTGTTGCTCATGAGATTTATTATTTAGCATTGAAAGTTATTAACTTTTTATGACCAATGAGAAATTCGATATTTTCTGGAGTCATGTTTTGTGCAGATTTATCTATCTTTTTGTAAGATTTCGAATATTTATATTATGTAGGGCATTTACCAATTACCACCTTTTCTGTTAATGTTGCTCTGGTAAAAAGTATGATTGATAGGAATACAACTAGCATACCGAGTTTGGGATGGAGTAATATATTAGTCTCTGTGTTAAGAAACTCGTGGGATTCTATTTTCCAATATAAGCTTGTGTTTGTAGGTGAAATTAGTGGGAATGGCATTTGACAAAGCTGAAAGGGTAACAGATGTCTCTTTTGTGATTGATGATGGCACAGGACGCATTGGATGCAACAGATGGTATGTTTTCTCTGTTTTTCATTTTTTTTTTCAGAATAGTGCACTGGAGCACTTTATTAAGCCTAAAGGCAGCAGCTTTAAATAATAAAGAAAATAGTTCCTTCAGAAGGCACGTGTGGCAGAAATAAAATTGTGGTCACTATCAATGTTACCTGTGCTCATGTGTATTTGAAGTATATATAGCCTTGGTAAACCATAACCACGTGCATGCTTCTTAAACTAGCTGCTTTTTCGCATTTCTATAGTTCTGACGATGTTTCATTTTGTGTCTATATTTATCCATCATCCAGTAAAATGCTGAATCAAAGATTCATTGTAAGCAAGTGTCTATAAGTCCTAATGTAGACTGCGTGTGCCTATTTCATATTGGTCACACAATATGTGTGTGTTCTCATGCTGTTTTTCTATACTTTTTGCTTCCATACGGATTAATGCTATTTCTATACATTGTTCTTGGTAGGGTGAATGAAGCTGTGGACAGAAAGGAAGTGGAAGGATTATCGTAATTCCAAGCTTGGAAAATCTTATGCACTTTGTTTTCATTGCTTTGCAGTTTATGTTTATTTACAATTCTATATATATTTTCTTAGGGATGGTACGTATGTACGGATTCATGGACACTTGAAAAGCTTTCAGGGCAATAAGCAAGTAGTGGTCTTTGCTATCAGGTAACAGATTGCCTTGCATTAGTTGATCATCCTGTATCTGATAGTTGTCATTTCCTGAGGGCATTGCCTTTGTACATGCATGATGATTCAACGCATGAAGTAACTTTGACCATTCTTTATAACATCAGATTAGTGTGAAGCTGAACAATTGTTGCACGACAAGGTTCCCACGACATTGTTATTATATAGTTTTTGACTTCTTGCAATCAAGTAGAATATGGGCCTTTTTGTTCTCTCCTGAAATTGTAGGCGTGTATTGTTTGGCAAATTACTTCAATCTCACACGCACTGTATAACTGCACATCCATCTGCTTCAGATATGCTGCTATGTATTGCAATTGTCCTGATCAACTTATAAAGTGACATTTAGCAATGTTTTGTCTTTCCTTGTAAAAGGTAGCAAATTTTGGACACTTGGACTGTGTAGTTAAGAGTAAATCTTGTTTTTTGCCACATTATTCGTGAACATAGTCACACTAGTTGCTATGAAAATAAGTCTAATATATTGAAAGAAGTCGAAGAGACACTAGATGACAGTTAGCATTATCCTGTTAATTATTTTCATTCACTTTGCATAAAGCACTCATAGTTAATTTATAGTTTGATAATTGTCCTATGATATTATTTTTATGTTTCCGTGGACTGTTCATGTCAAGAATTTCCAGAATAGTACGAAGATATGACCGTATTGTAGCTAGGTTTTCTTTTATTATGGTTTGCTTTTATTTGAATAGATAAGATGGGTGTTAGCTAATTGTAATTCATCACCACCTACAACAATAATGTAGCCATTATCTCTATAGATATATGTGCCAAAAGGAAAGTCGAAGAGCCATGTTGAAAATGTTTTAGCTGATATTGTATTTGTCAAAACTTTAATTGTGTCGGTGTTCGTCGTGTATCATTGCTAGAGGATCGTATTTTGTATTATTGATTTGATGAAGTCAGTGTACAATAATACCAGAAAATACCGACCTAAAAGGAATTTTGAGTTGCTGTCCATGTAGAATTTTTTATGAACCTGACAACAATACCTGTGATAAATCTAATCTGCATAGAAATGTGATATCCTTAAAAGTCTTGAAGGAGGAATACCTCCCTCGCCTTTCTTCCACGTACCTGTTTATCCCTGTTTGTTGGGAAATTAAAATTTTCAGCTGCCATGTTCAGGCCTGTGACTGACTATAATGAAATTGCAAACCACTTTCTGGAGTGTATATATGCTCACAGCTGCAATGCCAGATTACAGGTATTACTCAAGCTTTTGGTGAGGCTATTATCAATGACGTGTCAGATGCAAGTTTTGCATGCACTGGAAACTTCTATTGTTTGTTCATTTTATTCAATGGTGAAAAACTGCTTTGGTCTTATATTTTCCTTGTAACTCAGAATGGCGTTGTGACCCCTGCTTCATCTTCCTCAACTCTGAACACTCCATCAAATGGAAACCAAAAGGCCACATCTAATCAAGTTAGTAAATATAAGAACTCAGGTTTATTTTTATGTTCTTGTTCAAGTATTTAATGCTTGTATATACTTTCCCAATTCAGTTCTCACAGGAATACAACTTGGATGGTCTCAACAACATCGATAAATTGGTGATAGAATATCTGGAACGACCTTCAAGCACGTGAGTCATCTAAAATGCTTATCAGTGCATGCATGTATGTGGTTTGATGTGTCTGTGCATGAGCACTACACTAGCCTGTGAGATTCATTTCTTGTTACTATTGAAGTAGATAAAGTTAAAGTGATGTGTGGTTTTAGCTTCAGTAAATAAAATTATTGAATTTGACCTCTTCTTGAGGGAAGAATTCGAAATCGTAGAAAAAGAAATATTTCTATGAATTTACAAGTTTTTGTATATTGGTAAAGAACTTTTGATTGCCAAGAATTGTTATTCTGTAAGGTTACTGATCAGTGTTGATGGTTTTTGTTGATTAATTTATACACTGACATGGGACTACAATTGGTTTCTCAAGCAAGTTTAGGATGCATAAACGCTCTCAAATTATTAACAGCATAATTCAGAATTTGATCAGTTTTAAGAAAACCTGCCACCTTGTGCGCGATAGATAGACACGAAAAGTGGGTGGCGAAATCTGCATTGATTTCTTGATATTTACTAAAACATGACATACAATTGGCATTCATCAGAATTTGTACAGATGCTCTGAATGAGAAACATGATGATGGAGGGAATAATAGGAAGTTTGTCACGAAAATTGCTGATATTCTCAAAGATGTATAGCATGAAATGTACATCATATCTATGTACAAAATTAGAATTACAAGGTGTTCATCATAGGATGAACAGAAATCCACGTCTTTCGTATCTACAATGGCTCGTAGATTATAAATGTCACATGCTAGAAAATAAGAGAATATGATAGGAATAGCATATAATTAAGTGCAATTAGTAAGTAGGATTCTAGCCATCCCTGATGTGGCAATACACTTTTTTGATTGTCTTTGATCTCGCCATTGTTGTGGAAATTTTAGTACTGTGCTGCATGTCATTCCGTTTGATTCTGTTCTTATTCATTGAGCTTTTTCCACATTTCAGTGTACAGGAAAAGGGCGTGCACCGGGATGAAATTGCAACACAACTTAAAGTTCCTATGGCAAAGATCTTGTAACTCTCTCTCTCTCTCTCTCTCTCACACACACACACACACACACGTCACAAACCAAACCAAACACTAGAGATGGAATACATTTATTTATCACGTTTAATCTTTTTAAAAACTTGCATTGATGGAGAGGTTACACAGTTATGTACTTGAATTTTGTTTTCAACATAGATAAAGACATCCATGAACTATATGCTAACTTTTGAACACTAACGGTGACAGGGAAGCTATTGAGAGCCTAGAATCAGAAGGGTTGATCTATTCGACAATTGATGAATATCACTACAAGTCCACTTCTAGTGGTTGAAGTTGTTGCACAAGAAACATGTTTAGCTTGTAGACTTGTGGGAATCTGTTTTTTTTGAATTTAACTAAGTCGTTAGAGCATTCCATGGAATGTGGATGAAAGTGTAATGGTCTAACATTTACTTTCTTGTTTAGGAAATGTTCTCTTCTGCTATTCCAACTAATGATTTAATTTTGGAAAGTCACGTGCTACTTATACGAGCCAAGGCCCTTCCCCAATTCCCCATATTTTCCTCCAGACATCGGGGCAATTGGTTTTTGCCATCTAGAAATGTATTTTCATAATGTATCTTAAAATAACTTGAAAATTGTACCAACAGAGTACACAATAATACACATAGAATGATTGTTACTTGGAGTAGTGGATGTGGGATGACAGAAGAATGTGATGATGAAGTAATTACAAATCTCGAGTCTTGACTAATAATTTTGTGGACGAACGTGTGGAATAATTAGATTTGACCATAGACAAAACTATGGGCCTTTAATAATGAGACGCCCAATTTACTTTATTTCTTTATATAGTTTTGTTACTTTTAACTCCAATAAAGCAAAGAATTTTTATCAAATGCAAACAAATTCCCCGCCAAACTTTCGACCAATCCGTGATTCTTCACGTTAGCTTGATTGTTTGGCTCTTATGAACTATTTATAAGTATTTTTTATTCACATTTTAAAGACCCTTTGATATTATACACTATATATTTTATCAATTATTTCTATCTATTTATAATTTAAAATCGTTTATAAATACTTTCCAAACATGCTCACCTTCTCAACTCATTGTATACGAACTTTTTCTATTGTGAATTCAAAATTTCATTCTACTGATAAATTCTCTCCATTGAATGTGTAGAGTTTAAGTTACACTACACTTTTCTACTTGTCTGCATTCGAAGTCTGTATCCTCTTCCAAGTGTTATAGATATATTTTGAAAAACTCACATCCATTAGGTCGTCATATTTTTCAACTGTATAAATCGTATCAGGGTGAGCCTACTTTCTACGTTTATGTGTAATAGTAAACACAAATATGCAAGTTCAAAACTCTCACGTTGAAGTGTTATATACAGAAATGATCTAATGAGCACCGGTGCTCATCTTATCCTAAACACCAATGAGTTGGCACATTAATTCATTGGTGGATTGGAACTCACAAAATCTTTATCCACCAATGAATTAATGTGCCAACTCATCGGTGCTTAGGATAAGATGAGCACCGGTGCTCATTAGATCATTTCTGTATATATATATATTTCGACACAATTATTGTAACATTACTACTGGGTGGGGCAAATATGTCCACTTCGCCTCCCTCCTGATTTCCCCACAAACAAACAAACACATTTTCTTTTTCTTTTTTGAATTCTCTTTTTCTAAATTCTGATTTCTTTTACTAAAGTTGTAGCTTTTTTTGGTCAACATACAGACAGAAGAGCACCTCGTTTCCCGTGCAAACCCTCTCACGACCTTTATATTTGTGTCTCTATCCATATCTACTGCATTCAGCTCCTCCAGCTTCGACAAATATGTTAAGAACTTAATCTTCTCACACAATTACACAGAGTTTTGCGCAGTTCCCCAAAGAACACATCTTTTTTCACACCAACACCATGAATATGGATTCTCCTCAGAACTGGCTTGCCTTCTCCCTTTTTCAACCCACCACTCACAGTAAGTATCCACCCCATAAACATGTATGTTTTACTAAGAAAGTAAAATGCTTATTTATTTCGATTTGTTTATATTATCCTATAGGTGGTGGAATCGTAGTCAGTGGTGATCAAGGAAATGGAAGTGATGCAACCACAATACCAGACTTGTCAATAATCAATGGAGGTGACCCGAAGCTCGAGGATTTCTTGGGTGGTTCGGGTAGCGGCGGAGCAGCCCAGTTCAGCGGTGGAGATCAGGGCCTTATGGATGATGCAGAGATATATGACTCAGAGCTCAGAACTATAGCGGCTGGCATCCAACGTGGGTTTTCCGGCGAACAAACCTGCAATCAGAAGCAGCTGATGGTGGTGGCTCCACCGGAGCCTCTGATCAAGAAGGCCGTGGAGAACTTTGGCCAACGTACCTCCATATATAGAGGAGTCACTAGGTAGTAAATTCATCATCAAAAACCAGGCTAATGAATAGATATAGAATAAACCTAACTAGGGTTTCTTCTATATTGAATATAAAATCTTAACTTTTTACCATTTCTGTATTGTAGGCATAGATGGACTGGAAGATATGAAGCTCATTTATGGGATAATAGTTGCAGAAGAGAAGGGAAAAGTCGGAAAGGAAGACAAGGTTTGTATTTTCTAGGGTTTTGAGATTTCATCAGGATCCATATTTTCAAGAAAATGTTAAAAGTTTCAGTAATGTAACTCGTCCCAAGTCCAGATAATCGAGTAGGAATGTACCAACATGACGTAAATCATGTAATCGAATTCAAACTTTATTGAGAATAAGATTTAATATTAATTTTTTTTTAAATTCAAATGGAAAAAAGATTCTGATGTTGCTGCTGCTTTTTGTTACATGTATTGGCAAATCATTGTGCCGTGGACGATAAATAATCATTTTCAGTTTATTTGGGTGAGTTATCTTTTCTACATACTGAGTGAAAAGTTCTTTCTTGCATGGATGAGTAATTTAAAGTTTTGAGGGGTTAGATTCTCCTCGGATTCTCATTCTGTCAAGGTACTTACTCATAAATTATAAGTTATATACAATTTATTAATTATTTTTAGGAGGATATGATAAAGAAGAGAAAGCAGCCAGAGCGTATGATCTTGCAGCCATCAAGTATTGGGGTCTCACCACCACTACTAACTTTCCAGTAATATTTATTTACTTACTCATATTTTAATCCATTTTTCTTCTTTTTATCTGATTAATTATCGTGTTTATTTTGTCGTAGGTGTCCGATTACGAGAAGGAAATGGAAGAAATGAAGAACATGACGAGGCAAGAATTTATTGCTTCTCTTAGAAGGTCAGATTTCTTTCAAGAACATTTTCTAGGCGAATTGGTTGTCGATGAAAATTATGAATGTCATTATTTCCCCAAATTCTAATGTGGTATTTACTAAATATAAAGTTGATTTTTGTGTACTGGTGTCCCCTTAACCTTTGCTCATCCATTTTATTACAGGAAAAGTAGTGGGTTTTCGAGAGGAGCCTCCATTTATCGAGGCGTCACAAGGTAAAATAGAATTCAATTCAACATTTTACCTGTGCAGATTGACTGTTTCATAGTACGTCTTACTAGTTTACATTTGTCTTCGCCTTATGAACTTAGCCGATGCCCTTTATTTTGTTTCATTGTAGGCATCATCAGCAAGGGAGGTGGCAAGCAAGAATCGGAAGGGTCGCAGGCAACAAAGACTTGTACCTTGGAACTTTTGGTGAGTTATTTTTTTTACTAGTGCTGTAAATTCTTTCTTTATTTCGTAATGAAGTGAATAAAGCACAACCAAACATTGAACGCACGTATTTCGAGGTTACTGCGATCTCATTGGGCTGCCATGGCGGTAGATGCCCATGAATGAAGATATGTTCAATTATTTGAGTGAAGCTATTTAGTATTTAGTACAAATGGCGTTAAACACGACACGAGTATTTGACATTAAATGATATATAAGTTAACTTAAATGTAATATCATATGAATCAATTAATTGAACATATTAAGTGCGATCGTCTAAACTGGTGCTAAATTACATTATTCAATTTAGAATTTAACTCACTTGGGTGCAAGATGTGGTTTGAAGTAGGAATGTTAAATGGTTGAGTCGAGTAGCTCTATTTGATCCACCACATGAGATAAGTCGTCCATGATTCGTCAATCCTTTTTTGAATTTGAACAAAAACATTAACAACTTATGAGCCAATTCGTGAGAGTCGACGAGTGACTTGTACGAGTGTTTTGACGTTCAGCTCGCGCCCTTAGCTCTCCTCGAGTGCGAGCTGGATTAGCTCGGCTCGTAAGCCACCGGCTCACACCATTTTCCACTTCTAGTTGGATGAGATCCAAAAGAAAAGTTATTGAAGTTTATTTTTAAATTTTTTTAATTACATTTTGGGGTTAGGGAATATAAAATATAAATAAAGAAAATTGTTGGTTTTCTAATAGTTTTAGAGGTGGATGGATGAGGTATAAGAGATTAGCCAAATGTTCTAAATTCAAGTCTCATTGTTACTCATTCGTGAATATCAGGTACAATTTGATACAAAATAAGTTAAAGACCATATAAATAAAAACACATCAACTTTTAAATGCTTAAAATTTTAAATGAGATAGTTCATCTCGTGATATACAGGCACTCAAGAAGAAGCAGCTGAGGCTTATGACATTGCGGCAATCAAATTCCGAGGCCTAAATGCAGTGACAAACTTTGTCATGAGCCGTTATGACGTAAGGAGCATCGCGAGCGGCAATCTCCCCATCGGATCCTCGAACAACAAACCCAAAACATCATCCGAATCCTTGTCCGAGAGTAAAAGTTTTGACGGAACTCATTCAGACATTTCATCGAGCACTTGTGTCTCTTTAACATCCCATCCTCCAACAGCATCCACCCTGAGATTTGGATTGCTCCTAAAGCAAGATTCTTCAAATTCCTGGTCTAATCCTGTTAATCCCAGTACTGTTTATCAGCCCTCCAACATGAATCTCCCGACAAATTTGTCTGTGAATGAAGTCAACAAGAACAAGAATGATGAAGGATTCTTCAATGGCAATTATTACTATCAGCAGCAAGAAGGCATTGCTTTAAATAGCAATAATAGTACTGCAACATATGATGGCTCAGTATCTACTTTAGGCAATTGGATTTCAACACCTCTGCATTCAATCCAGACTGCAAAATCAAATCTATCAGCTTTTCAGACTCCAATGTTCGGAATGGAATGATCCCAGAAAAATGGAGAGAAGGGAATTTAACTGTTGTGAATGGTGGATTGCTCAAAAAGGGAATTCAAATATCTTTTACTGTTTTGCATGGATGAGAACAGAACTAGCAATCACTTTCACCAATGCTAATAGCTGAATCTTTCGTGCAGCACTGTCCAATCTTTCTCATCCCATGTTCAAGAATCAATCTTTCAATTCTTATAGCGTTAAGATTTTAAACGAAGCCATTCAACTCGAAATTGTCTTCACACCACAATTTTGTTTCCTCCACTATATTTTAATTGCAATAAAAATTGTCCGCGAGTATTCGTTACCATATTTATATACTTTACTTTTTTCGTCACATATTATTATCCTTAAACTACCTGATGAAGACGATTTTTCTCAAAATTTTCAATCTACATTGGACATGAAATAAAAACACTGGAAGAATTGATACGAGGCGATGAGAAACGAATAGAACTATTAACTGTGCATCCACTTGCTTATCACGTCCCTGGAGAGACAAAAACGAGGTTGTTTACCTACCACCAAAACAAATATTTCCGATATGAAAAATAGGAAGAACCTCATTGAAGAACGAGAGAAGCTCATCGAGAAAGCAGCCGACCTTCGTAACATGATAGACTACAAAACTCCATCGACTCTTTCTAGAACAATTCAATAAGTATTCGTTCTACACAAAGTAGTATAGGGACCCTCCTCAATGAGCGAGCAGAATTCTTTAAGAAAGAGCCTACCTTTGTGACATGATAGACTAGAAATAAGTAATGGGTCGAGTACTTTAATGCACGACTTCCTTTGTGATGTTTCATTTTGTGTCATATCTTTTGTCGACTTAGTAATTTAAGTAGTCTGATATATGTAGAGTACCATGCCTAAAAGTTGTCAATGTGTAAGCAACAAGTAATATAAGTATATAACGTTGTTAATAAAACATTGTTTTCATGGGGACCGTGACATTAATTCTCGATCTAATTAATCCTAGTTTCATTTGAACAAATAAAAGAACTCGATTGAGAAAATCACGATAAAACAAGGAGCTAGAAATCTCTTTCAATTGTAGTCAAAATATCTCTATATGAATTACGACATAAAATGATGCATTAAAATACTACAACAAAACAAAAAAAAAAAAGAAAGAAAGAAAGAAAGAAGAAAGAATCCACGACAAGGTTGCACAACAATGTTCATACGAAATCACGAAGTAATCATAAAATTGGCCAACTTCATAAAAAAAAATTAAAAAAATAATAAGAGATCGATATGAATGTATTAAACATCAAACGCAAAAAATCAAATTATTCAAATTAGGAACGCAAAAAATCAAATTATTCAAATTAGGTTACGTCATTCTTCCTAACAATAAATTTAGTCAAACTTTTCTATAGAATACAAACACTTGATAGATGAAAGTAACGTCACTGGAAATTAGAATCAAGAAAAAAAAGTTAAAACCTAAGAAAGAATGATGAAATCCTCGAGTGTTTCTTCGATTTTCAAGCTTTCCTCATTCAAGATTCTTTAAACTCTAGGCAATAGAATTTGTGTTAGTGTCTTCTTCAAAGCCCAAAATGTCCCCTTCTTTTCTTTAGTCCAAGACACGCCTATTTATACTGTTCCATTGCTACCAAATTGTCCCCCCAAGTTACCTAAAAGGCTAAACCAGACAAATTTCTCAAGGACAAAAATTTTCCCCTTTGAGAAAACTTCCGAGAGGAGACATTTTGTTCTTCAAAGTATCTTCATGAAAAATTCATTGGGACGAAATTCCTTAGAAAATATTCACAACTTCTACTTCATTGTTCTTCCTTTGCATCTCTTAGGGAACGTGTAATTGTTTCCACCTCAAGCAAATAACAGCCCAAGATTCAAAATTGACCTTTTAAAATAGAACTTCAAAGGCAAATTGACAAGAAAACTTAGGCCTTGTTTGGTTTCCATTTGCTAAAACCTATTTTCTTCCAAACTTATTTTCAATCACTCATTTTTTCAATAAAATAATTTTGCATATAAACTCAAAACTTTTCTAACATTTAACTACAAATTCAGCAAAAATAACTATTCAAAAAAAAAAAAAAATCTATTCTCAAAAATTATCTATCAAGCAGGGCTTAATAAATGTATTCGACAACAATGTATTTCTAAAACTAATTTAGAAATTAACTATTTAAAAAAATTGTTTCCTCAATGGAAATGGTCAGTTGTCACCTTTGTTCTCCAATTGGTACATAAAGCTCGGATACAGTCGTGCAGATCAACATTGCACGTTAATGGGAAACCTCCAAGGTCAGACCGGGCAGAGCATGGCATAGGTGAGTCCAACATGAAGTGTTCTATCTTAAATTCTCCAGTTATCTATCTTCAATTTATCATCTGAACTGAAAAAATAAAATACACAAGACATCTAGAAGATGAATAAGTTCACTCGTTGTATTTGACATAAATAGATTCAACATAGAAATTTAAATTTCCTAGGCTGCCATCTAGACCAGCAAACAATAAAAAAGAACTTAAATGTCACACATTTATGTTAATATCTTCATTTTTGCTAAATTCATCATATGGAGATTTTGTCATTTAATTGCCCAACACATGGTACCATAAAGCATAGTTGGTCTATAAGAATTTGACTCAGAAGTTCTCAAACATTCTTTGCTCCTACCTTCTCATTGCATATTCCACATTCCCAGCAAAGTCCTTTTCTTTAACTATTTAATTAGTACTCAAGATAATTGGAGGGTGAAATGTCACTCCTCTGGCATCTAATTAGTGTTAGGAGAGGTCACTATCTCCCTAGACCCTAGTACTACTTTACTCAGCTGAAGAAATCTGATACGACATAATAAACCAGCTTCCAGAGGACTCATTTTATGTTTTTACTTAATAACATAGGTGTACTTGACCATAGAAATCATTGGCTGCAAGCATTGGCTAATTGATCATATTAATTTATGCTCCTACTGAAGTAAATAATTCTAATCAACAGGTTAAACTAGACAAGAAATTGCTGCAGTTGCTGAGTTAATAGACGAGAAAACACACCAATTAGAAAACAGAAACAAACTGACTAAAGAGAAAAAAAATTAACAAATAATGCATTTCACGTCAACATTGGCCAACTTCAAAGAATTAGTGGCAAAGATTTAGAGAACACTATAAATGAGAAACTGACATGTACAAGCAATATAAAGTTTTTGTGAATTTGTGCGCTCTGTGGTGCAAATGTGCTACCATGACAATTTTCTCTCCATGATACAAAAAATTTCAATTTTAGCATCAACAGAAGAATCCGATTGTTTTTGTAACATCGCATTACATGTGATTAATTAATATTCATTCGACATATTCCAATTGAGAATCATGAAGAACTGACAAAAATATAACAGCAAAAGAATTCCAGAAAATTAATCTATGAGCTAAAGCATCGACGCTTAACAAAAACATAGTATAATAAGAAGCTATAGAATACAAATTCAAGATAAACTTTCAAGGCAAAGCATGGAAACCTTAAAAGTCCCCAGTCACAAGAAGGATTAAATCAACATAAAGTATACTAGTCCACAAGAAAATGAGCATCCAACCTGAATTACCATCAAATAGACCCAATTTGTATCTTTTTCTTTTGTTTCTTGGCAGGTGATGCACTCTTCAACATCTTCTGTTCTGTCTTCAGCTTCTTTTTCTTTTTCTTAGCAGGAGGCATCTCCCTTATAGGACCCGGAGGCACCCCCTTCTTCAGAGCACTACCTCTAGGAGTAACAGAGGGTGGTAGTCTCAAACTTTCTGGAGGCAATGGACTGTGTGGCTTCCAGACCAAGTTATTTTTCATTGCAAATCTAACCTTCTTTACACTCTTCTCCACGCTCTTTGCAGTATTATCAAGTCTGTCATCTCCTTGACCACTCATGTCTAAGTTGTCAGTGTCATTCCTATCTGCAGTCTTAGCAACCTTCCTCTTCTTTTTCGACATTCTATTCTTCACTGTAATTTTTGGTGTATCACATGAATCTGTATCATCATCTATATATGATCCAGCTTCAGCTGCAACCTTCTCAAATTGCTTCTGAAGATTTGATATCACAGACTCATTCGAAGTCAAATCATTCCCATGACTCTCCAATTCATCATTCAAACTCTTTCCATCAGCAGTCATCAGATCCCCATTTCCCACACCATTAGCAGTAACCAGATCGTCATTTTCATCAACAGTAGATCCAATTACAGAAACCAAATTTTGTTCCTTATCATTCTTCTTCTTTGACTTCTTATTGCTTGTGTCCGATCCTTTTAACTTCTTACGGCTTTCATCTGTCCCTTTTCTCGCCCTCTTACTCTTCTTCAAGCTTTCATCATCAAACTCATTCTTGTCATCATGCACATCCTCAGATTCTTCAGATGCCCCCGATGCACACTCACCATTGTAATCAATGGCGATTAACTGAGGTACCTCATCATCATTACTACCATCAGAAGCATCATTGTATTCAGGAACCACAATTTCAAACCCACATGACTCCAGATCCTTCTCCAACTTCAAGAACTCCTCGTTTAACCCAAAAACCACCTTCCTATTCCCCTGTAAACACTCCACTGATGAACCAACCTCATAAAACTTCCCCGAAAAACCCATCTTTAAGGCAACCATAGCTAACAACACATCCCCATCTTTCTCGTCACAATGCACTCCTGTTTTTTTCTTCACCAAAAATTCCCTGCCCATCTTCAGCAACTCATCAAACACACAACTTGTAACCTTCCCCACCAAAATCTTGTCTTTACTCTTCGTCAAAACCGCAAAAAAGGGCCCAAAGATCGCATCAACCACCTCCTTGTCCACCGGAAACCTCGCCTCCTTCAACTCCTCCAAGAAAACCGATACAATATGATAATTCACTCCATTCCCCTGCAACTTATCGTCTGCCATAAACCCATAATTCTCCAGAACACTCATAAACTTCCCCAGAAATTCCAAATTCCATTGCTGAAGTTTCATCAATTCAAACAAAGTCCTCATAAACCTACGTATAAGCAAGTAAAATTTGTCTAACCTCAAGCGATCAATCCCAGGCCACTCCCGCCGAAGAGTCAAAACAAATTTACTAAAATACTGCAGCGAAACCGGGGATTCAAGGATCAAAAAAAGGGATGTAAGTCTATTAACAAGGGCTAACTGATTCGGAGCTTTGTCGGAGTGCCAGAAACAGTAAAAAAGCCCTTTCCAAAGCTTCTTAATATCCTTTTCAGGGATTTCTTGCTTTTGAGAAGTCAACCACGATTGAAGGAGTTTCAGGGATTGGGATCTGACAGTATTATTGCAAGAAGCTAAGTGTTTGATTAGGGATTGGCCAGTGCAGGAGGCGAGTGTGGGGACTAAGGGTTTGAGCTCTCGGGGTCTCTTCTTCATTGATGAAAACTATAATTTTGCTCAAGAAAAGGTGAATTTCACAGTGTAATTAGGGTTTTGTGGTTTACTGTTTAAGGATTTGTAGTTTATTAGGTTTTGGTATCGGAGTGGAAGACGTGGAGGGAAGAGGGGGCTTGTTTGCAACGCTGGAAACCCTAGCGGGGGTAATTTGGGGATTTAATAAATACAAAAACAAACACAAATTTGAACATCGGATTATTAAGAGTAATGATTTTTAACACCACTTTTTGTTAGAATACTGATTTATATGGTGTTAAAGTAACATTAAGTAATATGTATAATTAAATGAATCACTTAATTTTATCTTTCAAGTCTATAATATACGAAAAAAATGCATTCTATTCTACCATGAAATAAACAATAAAAATTCAATTCCTATTTTAATTAGGACATTACTAAATTAAACAAAACAAAGTTTTTAAAACAAACATCCAAGCTAGGCCACTCCCAAAAGCAAACCAGATCATTCATAATCATCAACTTTACGAAGGTCCCATTGCATTTCGGAAGCTTGGTCTGTTATTGAAGCCACTTGACTTGATAGTACCATTTTGGGAAGGTCTGATGCCGAAATCACTAATGGCATGTTTGGGTCGAATTAAAATCTGATTTTAATCTAAATCAAAGTCAAATAATTAATATTAACTGCATCTTTCATGGGTCCCACATTTTTTCAATTTAAATCCTATATCTACTCAAAAATCAGTAAAGTCAAAATATTTATTTTCTCTGCGAATCATTTTTTGAACAATGAAATCCATAACATAAAGATGGTACATTTCAAAAACTTCTATCACAATCCACTAAAAATCTAATTTTAATCCCAACAAAACACCGTCTAAATGTGAAAGTCGTCAATCCTTGGATCGAGTTGTGAAATGGGAGAGAAGGGAGGTGATAATTAGGGTTATGAATAGAGTTGTACTATTTGACATTATGAGCGTTAAAAAATCAATCTAAGTTTCATTAATGTGACATTAAATGAAATGTACAATAAAATGAGTAATTTAATTTTACATTTTATTGAGTTTATCGCCTAAACTAAAAAAAAGGATGAACCGCATCCTTAGCGGCCCCCACCTACCCTGCCCTGCCATGCCCTGGGTCTTGGTGAAAGAGGTAAATCACAGGTTATGCCTCCAAGGGTAAATGGTGGAAGGCTACTTGTACACTTACACTTACCCAAAGGTCAAATCCATATTTCAGGATTCGAACCCTTGAAGCGGTAACCTTAAGCAAAGTTGGAGTTTTTCCACCTTCCCCTTTTACCATTTGGAGATGTGCTCTGTAGGCGAGTCTATCGCCTAAACTAGTATTGTAGTATCACTGGTAATGGATATATAACATTATTCTTTTGAATAAGACGTCCTTTTTTATTTTCCATTTTTTAGCCACTTTTTACATCTTTAAATTGTGATAATCGGATTTTTAGAATATTTTGATAAAAGTTGATGAAATATGTGATTGAAAAGTTATATGTATGGTTACGTGTGGTTAAAGTTAATTGTTGACATTGATTTGGATTTTAATCCATTATTGAAGCTGCAGTACCAAGGGCAAGATATGTTATTATTCAACAAATTCAGTACAAGGCTTCAACAACTGCTGCAACAAGAGCAGTTCTAGACACTAGTTATTAAGAATCACACTACCTTATCTTTTTTTCAACCCCCACAAAAAATATCCCATTTTCACTCGAATAATTGCCAAATGTCAATCTAGTTTGGCCTAGTACAATCAAACCTAATTTCACCCTTATTCCCAATCAAGACTCCAACACGACCCAACTTGGTCATAGCTTGCACAAATGCTTGTTGAAAAGCTGCATTATTTGATGCAAAAAGATTGACAGTACCCCTCGACCTGCTGTCTGAAAATAGCACTTGATCGGAGACAAACAAACCTCTGCCTTGTTGAAGGTTTCGGAAATAAGCATTGTCGAAGGTTTGGGGTGTTGTAGGGTCCATGTTTATGGCGATTCTGGGGTCGACTCTTAGAGGACACATTTGCCTTAGCTGCATTGCGTATTGCAAATTGAGAGTTGGGTCTATTCTGTTCCTCGGGCTGAAGTTGTATATGCGCTTGGAGAAACGGTTGCAGTGAGAAAACCCGATCGTATGTGCACCTACAAACATCACGATGAGAGGGTCGTCTTGAAAATATAAAAATTATATAAACAAAATTTTATTTCTTATCTAACTGCTTAAGTTTGTAGATGAGATAGAAAGATATTAAAATTTATACCTGATAGTGCAATCATATCAGTCTGGCTAAGGCCATGTCTGGCAAACATGGTATTTAGTTGGTCCAAATTAGAGCCTGGGCCTGGAAGGTTATTTTGAACGCTGGGCAATGTAGAAATTCTCCCATCTCTTCTTCCCAATTCAACCTGATAAAATGGTCCTCCAGCCTGCATAAATAAGTCAGTGCAAAGATAAGAATATCAAAAGCATAAACATGAATTTTCTATGTATGATATTTTGTCTTGTATTTAGTTACCAAATTAACAACATCTCTGGTGGCCAATGCCAATATATCTGCACAAGAAACTTTGTTCCTGCACTGGGGATTGCTATCTACAGCTGCCTTGGCTTTTACAACGGTGTCGAATCCATCTCCGGCGAGTGAAAGATTGTCAGAATGGTCCTTCTCGGCCTTCCCGTTTGGCGATGCCAGTAGCACCGACGCGTCGCAACCCTATACCATATTCAACCCAAAACTATTCACGATCTACTTAGTATATAGCTATTACACTATAATAAACAAGATTTTAACTTGCCAGAAGTACAATGCCCAACAAGCTATTACGTTTTCATCAATCATCACCATTAAAGAATAAAAAAAATAACAACAAACTAAGTTCTATTCTCAGTAAGTTTAGTATTGACGGTCAAAATCACTAACCCGAACAAAACAATCGTGGAAAAAGAGCCGGAGAGTTGCCGGGGCAGTGACAAAAGTCTGCTGGAATTTTCTTTGGACCGCTGACCGGACGAGGGATTCGACATTAGGGCATGTATTTCTGTAGAAATCAGTTCTCAGTTGAGCAAATGCAGTGGTTAGAAGAAGAGATAAAAACAAAGACAAGAAAATTATTCTTTGGCTCTCCATAATTCTTAGAATGTTGTTTCAGATACATGTTGTCTGGATTGAAGAGGTATTTATGCATACTCACAGAAAACAAGTGACAAATTATAAAATCCAAATTGGCAGTTACATTCTGGCCACTAACATATGACTATGTTCAATCAAATTGAGGTAGGTTTGTAGTGACATTTTATATGAATCATATTCTAGTTTTCTATGGAATATGCCCCATTTCACTATTATTTAAAAATTGATAGGAATCTGGGTTTAAAAAGTAAATGAATTCCTTTACACAAAAAATATTATGGATAAAAGTTTGTGCTCTAAAATCTTTATCTTTATTTTATCATGAGATTGAAAGAGTCTAAACAGTACTCTGTCAATCTGGTTTATAAAGTAATTTATTAACTTAAATTTGATTACGGTCCAAAAATGACATACGAGACCTCTATTAACTGTAGATAAAATTTTTGAGAACTGTTGGGTGTACAGAATTTTTTTTACAGACAGCCTACAGAATAGACACAATAGGTGGGGCCCTTTTTTTTTTTAACGATATTTAATTCAAATGGGCCCAGCTCCATGTGAGAATCTATAATTTTTCTATACAAACATAATTTTTCAAATTTTTTTTTTATCCAGAAGTACACTAATCATTTCTTTTCGAGCATGTTAAAGGTAAAATCTTATGCTAACTTAATATGGTATTAGAGTCCAACAAGATCGAACTAACAACTTGAGTTATCGAATCCCATATCTATTAAAGATGAAAGCTGCAAAACATGTATCAACTTGAATTACACTTTTTAACATAGTTGGTCTTTTAAGATGGAATTCAAGACTGGATAAGGTAACCTTTGGTTGAAAAAAGTACACACATATTTATGTTTATAAAGTAATATTTATATGTGTAGGTATAATTGTTTACTAGTTGTTATAGAGACTATATACAGAATATACAAGAAGTAACGTGTATGTGTTCTGTAAGCACATGGAAGATTACTACGTGTAAAACTTTAAGAGGTATTTAAGAACAAGTAGGAACAAAAAGTCAGCCATATTATAAAGATTGGGAAACTAAATCGTTGGCTTGTTCTTCAAGGAATCTGCCAATTATTGAATGGAAAGTAAGATGCGTAGAATAAGATAAACAGCAATGCAAAGTTGCACAGAAATCTGTCATTATGTCTTCTGTTACCGACTTGAGCTTCTTGTTCATTATAAGTTGAAGTTGAGTTTGGAGATGACATGCTTATAAGTTATAAGCTAACAACCTCTTAATTGGTTGTAGTTACTTTTTTAATTTTGAGGTTAAATATTTACTTGATTGCTTATATGAATATATTGAACAAACCGTAAAAAATTTGAAGTGGACAAACTTGATACAACTTGCAACTATAGGCTGTCCGTTCCCGACCATAATTGGATAGGCCAACTTAGCCCATTTGACACCACTAAAATCGACAAATGATATAATGCACTAAGTTAAAAACCCAATTTAAAATATTACAAATCAACTTAGCTTGTTTACACTTTTAAGCTCCATATTGACTATGGCCCTTTTCTTTTTGTCAAAACCCTTGTACATAGGATGTAAAATTCGGGTTGCGCTACCAAAACCGAGGTAGCTATACTTGAAACGAGCACATTGCTTTTGAATTATTCATCTTGCTTGTTCTTTTGGAGTTCTTTGGTGACACATAATGTTGCTGTCAAATTTATTTCAACACGAGGACGAAGTTCATGCCATAAACAATATATTATACATAGATTTGTTAAAAAATATATGATTATTTTGTTTTATTGTTTATTAAGGGTAGAATAATCTTTTCAATTTTCTTTATTTAGCCTATATATAGTTTCTTTGTATTTATGTTAAATTATCCTTTTGTATTCAATTGCATTATGCAGAATCAATGAAACCCTAGCCTCTTCTTCTTTTTCTTTATTTCTTTGAATTGTTTAACATGATATCAGAACTATGTTTCATGAGACGATACTTAATCTCAAATAGAGGTTCCGCAGATCCAACTGAAAAAAACAATTTCGAGAGGGTTTTCATTCAATTTCTGCTTTCTTTTGTGATCTGATTTTTCTTATTTTTTTTTGTTATTATAGCTACTGAAAGAGACGATTCGCTTTAGTTTGTGAGTGTGATGTTGGATGGAAAGAATTATTCCAATTGGAGTTATGCGTTGAGAAATTTTCTTAGGGGTAAAAAGATGTGATGATATGTTAGTGGAATTTCTGTGAGACCTAAGGATATTGATGAAGGTTATGCTGTTTCGATAGATACCTAGGAAGCAAACAATTCAAAAATTATTATTTGGATTAACGACTCTATTGGGCATTCCATAGGTAAGTATGAAACAGTAAAGGAGGTTTGGGATCATCTGCAAAGGTTATTCACTCAGTTAAATATTGCAAAACAATATCAATTGAAGAATGACATACGAGCTCTTCAACAGAAGAATATGAGTGTTCAGGAGTTTTATTATGCTATAACAGATCTTTAGGATCAATTGGCTC